GTGGGACCCAATGAGCACAAACTTTCCTATAGCCCAAGCTTTCAATCATCTCCTGTACTGCACTCTGCCCTATTCCAAGTTTTCGGGCTATTGTGTCCACAGTCACACGCCTGTCATCTTGAATGATCTCATCCACTCTTTCCTTCTTGTGTTCAGTTGAGGCTGTTCGAGGACGACCACTCCGAGGCTCATCTTCGATGCTGGTGTTCCCATCTTTAAAATGTTTCACCCATCTTCGAACACTGCTTACACCCATGCACACACTTCCATAAGCTCGCTGATGTCTCTGGTGAATTTCTGCAGCAGAGATTTCTTCTTTCACAAGAAATTCGATGACAGCACGTTGGCAAAACGACATATTGTTGTCAGCCATTTTGTTAGGAGTGATACTGGTCACGTGATGCAAGCTATTGACGTCAAAAAACACTCAAGGTTAACCCAACAGCTGGTTCCACCTACCACCATACTCTCTTTCGTCTGCTGTTCCCAGGTTGCATGCAAAAAAAAAGTTGCTCATGACTTTTGGTACGACCTGTGTACATGTATGATATTATATTTCAGCATCCTGTTGCATTGAAGTATCACTTGTAGTCTTCTTCCATCTATAATGCAACAATATCATATAGATTTAGATGACACTAATCCACATTTAATTCACTAAAATATTCGTTAAAATGTTTAAAATATCATTAAAATATATATACAGTCTCTGTTTATGTGCTACATGTTTTAGCTGCATAGGATCACCTTCAGGCAACTGTGCACTCCGTTATGAATGAATGAATGAATGAATGAATGTATGAGGGGTAGGCCTTCTCGGCCCTTGCACCGTGACCTACAGTGGTCTAAGTAGTTCTCATGAAGCGTGTCATTGTTGTTGTTATTATTAACTTTGGTGTTATAGGATGTTTGTTCTTCCTATCTTTTTTATTGTATTCTATTGTATTTGTACAGTAATACAAGACATGGAACACATATCAAAACAAGATACACTCAGCCAAAGAAGCAGCACGCCCAATGGAGCACAGAGCAGCTGCAATACAATATTTTAATGACATTTTAAATATTTTAGTGAATTAAATGTGGATTAGTTCCATCTAAATCTATATTAATATTGTCGCATTATAGACAGAAGAAGACTACTAATGATATGTGTATGATTCAACAGAAAGATATGGTATTGCACGCTTACAAATGTGTTCCTTACTATAACATAACCTCACTAAAAGATGAGGTGGCAGAATACCTAGCAATTGAAGATCCATCAGTTTGTTCTCATGATATTATATTTAAGCATCCTGTTGCACTCTATACGATAAATGATATAATGATATAAACTCCGTCCCAAGTGCAAACAATATATTATGTGTCCTTGATCTTGCTCCTTTACATTACATGTTTCGGCCTCAGATGGCCATCATCAGGTGTATAACAGTCACGTTGCTGTCACACTGCACCCAGCCCAAAATTTAACATTTAAAAACACTTTCCTTGTTGTTATCAACATATACTTCGTTGATATCTGTCTGGTTTGTAGATTATTTTACACACGTTAATTTTGACTTTCCTGTAGTAGCACTATAAAATCTTTAGTTCTAATTTTAAAATCCTTTAAAATTTTTCTCTAAATTTTAAAATTTAAAATTGTTAGGGTTACTCGCCCTATGTCTAAAGTGCTGCAGTGGCTAGTTCTTGTTTCCACACTGTACAGGTGTTATCCTGTGTAGTCTTCCTGTGTGCGTGCCGCTGCTATTCTTTACTAGGTGTGCTGTCTGATGTTTGCACTTGGGACGGAGTTTATATCATTATATCATTTATTGTTCTCATGAGGTTAGCCAAGTTCACTGTTGAGTTCTTTAAGTGCAGCATATATATCACTGATGAGTTTCACTTATCTTGGAATGCAAGGAAGAAAAGATTTCTTGTCCTTCCATTCAATGTGTCACAGAACTAGATACACTTAGGAAATTTATGTAAATTACACCTCTACAATTTTACACATTAATCTCTCCTGTGTTGTTCATTTCAAATTGATTAAAACATAAAATATTTAAAACTTCTTTCCAATGTTAAATTCATTTCATGTTGTTATACACTATATTATTTTCTAAGGTCAAGCAAATTCATAAGATGTGAGGATCCTTTATCATGAAGTACATATCTACACTGTAAACTGCTGAGGAATCTGTACATGGTCACATTTGCTGAAAGAGTAAATAGATGGCACATACCGGAACCTGTGAGGATACTTCATTGTGAGGCGCACAGCTGCACTGTAATCTGCTACAAGATCTGTACAGAGTCGCCTAGGCTCAAAACAGTCAGGGTTCCCTGGACACCAGTCACGATGTTTCCGAGACTGCAGTGTTCCTCTTGGATCTCGCACCAGCAGCACCACACGAACACCCAGACTACGAATACAGGAGAAGCAGTAGTTTGAGTGGAAGGAAGGGAATGACTCAAAATATATCTACAGAACAATTCCTTCAAGATCTGTGACATTGGTTTATTCATTACATAAAAATAATTACATCATTATTAATGAATTCGCTGTCAATCCCATCAAGTGGGGAGTGGATGTACAGATCCACATTTTCTTGACCTATGCACTAGCTGGAAGTGAGTTGGCTTAACTAGAACAACATAATACTGAAATGAGTTTATCTACTATACCTGGGATCTTCCAAGAGTTCCTCCACTAGACTAAGCCGCAGTCGTACAACCTTCATACTCTGGAAGGGGAATAAACGGCAGAAGGAGTTGAGGAATTCAGGCAGCCAGCAGAGAGATGGGTGTTGCTGGCACTGATCCCACAACCGTGTGTTATGGTTGAATAACCACACATGTTCCTTTCCATAGTTCAAGTAGTGCTCTGTACATTGAAAATTTTACAGTGTATATATAGAAAAGGAACATAAAATCTATTATGCACATTTAATGTGATATTTACACTGATCTGATACATGATAATCCTGATCATAATGGAGAGAGAGAAACTGAGTAATATTAGCTCAAGCAGTAAGCCATTTCGCTCCTATTTTGGAGGTGCCTAATTGAAATCTGGGCTGGGGCACTGACTATCCTGCCTGAGTTCTTTTGTGGTTCTGCTCAGCTCCTACAGACAAATGCTGGGACATTACCTTGAATTAGGCCATAAATGGTTCCTTCCACAACTTTTCCTGTTCATTATTCACTGTCTTCAATCATTTAGAGTTATACAGTCTTGAGTTACTGACATCATTAAATAAACTACAAACAAATACATATAAAAAATAATTACGTAGGTCGTACCGAAAGTCATGAGCAACTTCTTTTTTGCATGCAACCTGGGAACAGAAGACAAAAGAGAGTATGGTGGTAGGTGGAACCAGCTGTTGTGTTAACCTTGAGTGTCTTGTGACATCAATAGCTTGCATCACATGAGCAGTATCACTCCTAACAAAATGGCCGACAACGATGTCGTTTTGCCAGCGTGCTGTCATCGAATTTCTTGTGAAAGAGGAAATCCATGCTGCAGAAATTCACCAGACTTCAATGTGCTTATGGAAATGTGTGCATGGGTGCGAGCAGTGTTCGAAGATGGGTGAAACATTTTAAAGATGGGAACACCAGCATCGAAGATGAGCCTCGGAGTGGTCATCCTCGAACAGCCTCAACTGAACACAACAAGGAAATGTGGATGAGATCATTCAAGATGACAGGCATGTGACTGTGGACACAATAGCCCGCGAACTTGGAATAGGGCACAGTGCAGTACAGGAGATGATTGAAAGCTTGGGCTATAGGAAAGTTTGTGCTCGTTGGGTCCTGCGGTTATTGATCGAAGACCACAAAGTTCAGTGAAAAGCCATCACCTCAGAACTGCTGCAGAGATATCAACACGAAGGCGATGATTTTTTTGCTCTGTATTGTAACAGGTGACGAAAGCTGGTTTCACCATTTCGAGCCTGAAATGAAATGGCAGAGTATGGAATGGCACCGTTTGCATTCTCCATCAGAAANTCTGGCACCCTCCAACTACCATCTTTTCAGATTTGTGAAGGATCAGCTGCGTGGACAACGTTTTGAGACAAGGGAGGCAATTCAGAAAGCAGTGTGTCAGTGCCTTCAGATGACTGGAACAGAATTTTACAGAAGGGGAATTTCAAACTCGCAGAACGCTGGGAGAAATGTGTACAAAGATGTGGCAATTATGTGGAAAAATAAAGAAAGGTCTGTAGATTGAGGTGGTGTATTTGGTTTGTCAATAATAAAGCATGTTACTTTACAAAAAATTCTTGCTCATGACTTTCAGTATGACCCTCGTATTAAGGGCATCATCTTTTGGGATGTTTATCCAATAAAGTTTCCAGCAGTTCAGACTGTACAGTGGTAAGATGAGAGTGAATTGTAAAGGATGTGGGCAGAAAGAGTCATGGTCTTATCTGACATCTCAGACTTGATTGAAGGGACTGAGGAAGCCTCGGTTAGGAAGATCAGTTTACCAGGCAGGTACCTCCTGTATGCAGATTAGAAGTGTTAAGACTTGAGCCATTTCCTCAGTCATTTTCAGCAGTAGTTTGTGTCTTGCAACGTGACGGGTAACATACCCATATTTGTATAGTTGCAGTTCAGCAGATTTCTGAGATTCCTTATTGCTCCGGAAGCGAGAGGTTCTCCACGAATTTGTACAATGTCATAGTCGAGCAATGGTTCATAGTGATAGTAGTTGCCAGGATGACTGTTCAGCACATCACCAAGGAATGTTGAACCAGATCGCCACGTGGTGATGATCAAGCTTCGAACTGGTGTTCCATTCATGTCTGGTACCAGCTCCTCTAGTGACCTACAATATTGTTATGTTATTTCATTCATAAAAACATGAAAGATTAATCCTTTGCACACAAATGTGCCAAACATTTAATGACTGCTCCATTTAGCTGAACAGTTTGTACATCATATAGCTCTGACTTTCTTTTTGTATTGTTTTCCAAACGTTTGAGGTCCCCCACTTTATGCTCACTCCAACAATTCAGATAATCAAAAAATCAAAATCAACTCTGCTGGTTTACTTTGTGTTTATGTAAATAAACTTAAAAAAAAGTACACTGATTTTGAAATCATGTTACATACAAATCTTAGAGAATTACAATTCATTCACTTCACATGGGCACTTTGAAACATAACTAACTAACTGACAAACTAACTGAATGACTATGATTATGTAACCATCTACCTATCTAACCAAGTAAATCCGTGTAACAAAGATCTTCTCATGAACCTGATGATTCCTTGGTTTGTCAAAAATTTCCCTGCCTTTTATGGAACCAAAGTTTTATTACAGTGTTCACAAGAGTCCATCAATGGACCAGCTGAATGTAACCCACAGCCTCAAACCCTATCTTTAAGATCCATTTTAATATTATTTTCTGATCTATGCCTGACCCCAAAGTGACTCTTCCCTGTAGTTTTTGTGGCCAAAATGTAACATTCATTTTTTATTTTCACGTGCATGCTACATGTTCTAGCCATCTCAACCCCCGATTTGATCACCCTACAATTATTTTGTAAAGAGCACAAATTATAAATATTCTTGTTATGCTATTTCTTCAATCTCCATCTCTTTCCATTAGGCTCTGACTATCTCCTTAGTACTTCACTGTCAAATATTGCCCCCATGCTGTGCTCTTTAGTGTACAAGACATCCTGGGTTTGTTACCAACTGTCATCATTAATCTTAATGCAAAGAAACTGACAATATAAGGACACTGTATATCGAGATGCAGGTCAGCCAACTCCCCAAGTATCGTAAAAAATAATACCATATTACCAGAGCATTCAAAAGGTACTGGATTTGATACAAATATGGAAACCAACAGAGTGGAAGGTGTAGCTGGTTGGCAGAACATGAAAATCATGGTTTGTGAAACCTGCTGCAGCAGAATATTCTCTTTTGATGCTTCCATAAAGGATAACATAGGTTGTGTTACAGTATATAAGACAAAATGAATTGTTATGCCACGACTAATCTCATAATAAAAAAATAAAAGGAATTTGTTACTAAAATTATAAGAGTAGAGCCAAATGCCAACCACTGTGTACATCAAATAAACCTCAGGATGAAATGGATCAGTATAAAATTCAAATACAGACCTTGATTCTAATGTGATGAAGCTTCATGTTCCATAATGTATTATTCTTTAAACGGTCAGGTAAAATGACTGTTCAGGGATACAGTTAAATGTTCCTTACTTAATAATTTCTCTCACACTCCCTGGTTTCTACATAGGACTTCATTGCTAGGCCCATCTTAACAGTTCCTAAACTTGTGCATCTCTTCATGAATCAAGGATTGGGATGGACATTCACAGTGATCAAATCTGTTCCAAAATGAAGGCCAATGTTTGACTATGGGTTTACAGCCAGCTCAGACAAAGGGGTTATTTATGGCTAATGTAAATATAAACTTTCACAAGTAAAGTAAAACTATGAAGAAAGCAGTCTTCTGGTATTTGGCACCGTGTAAATGTGGTGTTAACCGACGTTTCGGAGGAACGTATCGCCTCCATCTTCAGGGTAGAAGAAAAAATATAAGAAATCTGCAAGCGAAGAGACCGTGAGAACCGGTAAAAGCAGACTGTGCCAAATCCCAGAAGATTGCTTTCTTCATAGTCACCGCTGTGAAGGCCTCAAATCTTACAAAGTAAAACTAACTTAACCTAACTGTCTCAGATGTAATGGTTATTCTTTTATCACCATCACTTAGCAAACTTCTGTAAAATATCAATCCCAGTGGAAACCTTGTAAGCACATACCTTGCTGAGATGTTGTAGCGTCCAGCAGGATATGGATAGCCCAGCATCTCCTCTGCAATCAGACGCTGCTGCTCACTCACAACTTCCTCGATCTCACTTGTGAAGTTGTTCTCGGGTTCCATTTCACTGTTTGACCAACTCTGCTTCACAATAATTATGAGGTTGATTAGTGATCATTCATCCATATGAAAAGATAATTCAAACAAAAACAAATGCATTCATTTAACATACTTTCAGGCCCCATGTTGTCTCCTTTTACTTTTCATCTGTCCTTCTGTAACTTGTGTCCATGCAATCTCACTGGCACGAGTACAGACACACATGAACTCAGAGCTTCAAAATGGCAGTTCATGTGGGAGCATATGCATGGAGATGAGAGTCAAGATTATCACAGCACTGAAAATTCATATGATGGTTCTCCGGGTTACAACATCATGTAGTGTGCTAGGTGACCAACATATCAGAGGCGCATATTGAGTGCACCTTCAGCTAACACCAAGATTGAAGCCGTATGTTCTCTGACATGTCGGTAAACACCCTACATATTACATGGTGTTGTACGATGGGGTACCCAAAAGGAACCAAACTAATTTTTTTGTGGGCAGAGCTTTTGTAGTACCGCGTTTTGCCTCTATGAGCGCATAGAGCTAACATTCCTGAGTCGATAAGCCGACTACCGTTGCTTCAGAAGGTAAGGACTAGTTTCGGCAGAGTTTATAGTGACAACTGTTTTGTGTGATCGTCGTTTTTGCAATGGCCCGAACACATGAAAATGTTAAAAAAATTCGTGAAATCATCAAGGAAGATCGACGACGGACCATTGAAGAAATTGTGGAGCTGTCGGGAGTGACTTGGAGCTCAGTTCAGCGAATTTTGACAGAAGATTTGGGAATGAAAAGGGTGGCTGCGAAATTCGTGCCACGACTGCTGACTGCTGAACAAAAACAAGGTCGCGTGGAAGCATGCTGTGCTTTGAAAGAAGAGTCCCGAAATGATCAAAACTTTTTTTCAGAGTTTTGCTGATGTTGCTGAGGTGAAGGAAAAAAAAAAACGACGGAGGCGCTGTCAAGCATCTCAAAAAATGAATTTGGACAATGTTTTGAAAAATGGAATAAAAGACTAGACAAGTGTATTAGTGTAAGTGGAGAGTACTTTGAAGGGGATTGAAGGTTTGTGCTTAAAATTTGAATAAATAAGTTTACAAAAAAATAAGTTCGGTTTCTTTTGGGTACCCCCTCGCATGCCAAAACACCAAAACATGTACGGTGTTATTAGACTTTCAGTAGCTGAAGACAAATAAATCAGAAAATATTTATGACATGAAGACTGAAAACTGTGATGGTGCGCATATTTGAAGATCATGTCTGTAAATGAATGCAGAAATTTAAAGACAGTATATACAGTACTGGATGATGCTCCATGGCCAAGCCAATTGCACTCCTGATGGTACTGTGCAAGCAGAATGCCACACCCATGAAAATTACTTTGTACTTAAAATAATCTTCCTGCAGCACCAAATATTAGTGCTAGTTTGGTCCATAAGCTCAGATTGAGCAATGAGCACATGCTTTGGGTACCAAAGCAGGTGACATGTAAAATAAAGTAAATGTATCTCAAAGAATGCTGGGCCTTGCTGCCTATCATGAAGTTGTAACTGATGATTTTATTGGATGCTTTATGACAGCAAGAACTTATGGTGCATCACTTCCAACATGAACTGTAGAGCAGCATCGTTTTTGATTACCCAAACCCAAAACATGTTTGCACGATCAGACAGAAAATTATACTGTTTTCTGGAATATTAATGGTATCATGTCGACTTATTTGCTTCAACAGAGATTAGACAACAATACATACTGCAAGACTTTGAAGGCAAAAGAACTGTGGATTGCTGTGCAAGGGTACAGCCAGCAGCATGAGAACACTATGACACACAGTCTCATGTGTTGGAATACGGTTTCAACGGTTTAGAACCGTCCATGGAAGTCCTCACAAACCCACCTTACTCACCAGACAACTGTCATGTACTGGACAATGAAAATCGTCAATCAGTCTTCCACTTTCATATTGACAAGGAGGTGCAGTGTACAATTCAGGACTGGTTGTACAACCAATAAGAAATATTTTTCATCTTTATAACATGAGATATAAAGCAAGTTATTTGTATTGCAAAACAATACAGTCAGTTTAAAGCAAAAAAAAAATTTCATTTGAATTCTTTGAAACAACTTATATATACATACTTGTACTCTTTTGTAAATGTGTCATACAAACCTACACAGAACATACAGAAATTATGTTTAAATAAAAGCAAAATTTTACTGATCAGAAAAAGACTTCATATTTGTAGTTTTATTATTTACATCACCAAGCTGTATAAATATGATCATCACCTGAAATGTTGCAATATTTTTAGGTTGAACTGTTTATAATGTCTTTGATAAACTGATAGATTTTAATAATGTCTATTTGTGATACACACAACAAATCAAGAAAACATAAATGTAATTTATTCAACCATCTATCAGTGTCAGGGAAATCAAAAACAAATTCTCACATCAAAGGTTTACATCACTGAGAGTTGTAAATAATGGACCAGCAAAACGTTCTGGTTGAGTTACTTTTGAGAATATGCTGTATATTCGAAGCAGCGCACAAACTTATAGGTTTGTTTTAGAAATTTGTATACATCTTCTCCCACTTCAATATCCTTACTGCTTGGTACTTACTTGGAAGGTCCTGCTGATGTCCAGGAAAGGAGCCCGGTCAAGGGCCGCAGAATTGACTAACCGATGGCTTACGATTAGCATCAACAGACACACTGAGCACACCAGCGCAACACTATATGCATTGAACCGGCGTCTGTAACACACCAACACCGATAAGAGAATCAGTCACTAAAATGCTACGTGACTAGCTCCATACAGCGGAACCCTTCTTCAGAAGCTGATAATCACTCAGCAGGTCAAGAGAGTCCTCAACCCTTACAGAACCAAAATATTCATTACCACGTTTTACAAGCCCATCACTACAATCTGACTTGAGTCAGATGAGTCCAATCTATGCCCAATGATCCACATTGTCTCCTTTCTTCACGTTTTCCAACTTAAATGCTGTATACATTTCTCAACTAAAATTGTGAACATAATTCTCACCTCCCTAACGTGTGTTATATCATCCATTCACATCATCTTTCTTGATTTGGTAACACTGTTGATACATTGACGAAGGGTGCAAGTTATGAAGCTAATCAGCATACGAGTTTCACAAGCTTCCTATTAATTACTGTTTCTTAAACCCTAATATTTTATAGAAACCATCTGGCCACTGTGAGGAGAGAAAAATCAAATGCACCCCAGTAAGGAATCAAATTTCAATTTCTTGGTTACTCAGCTCAAAAAGTAAACTTTATTATAATTTTCATTTTTCATTATACTTCTTACCTTGAAGTCCAACATTTAAAACCACCAAGTGTGACGAGTATCAGCCCATTATTATTATTGTTAATGGGGTGGGACTAAGTCCGTTGTACTGCGGCCACTTCTGGCCTATTGTACCAGCCCAAGATGATAGGTGAGGGTGATTGTGGAGCAATTGGTGGAATGAAGATTGGCAGGGGAAACCGAAGTACTTGGAGAAAACCTACCTCAGCGCCACTCTGCCCACCACAAATCCCACTTGATCAGACCCAGGATCGAACCCGGGCCGCTGCGGTGGGAAGCCAGCGACTAACCGCTTGAGCTATGGCGCGGCCTAGTATCAGACTAAAGCGGGCAAGCATAAAGCTGCCTACTCCATTACCAAAGTTAAAAATTAGTGGAGTTTTATTTCCACTCCCTAATATCCTTTTACATCCTTAAAGCACAGGGGAAATCTTCCCATCCAACATTCTTTAATTTATGAGGGTCATTAAAGCTTCACTGTTAATTTATCGAGGCTCCTCATCTGCCCAGTTCGAATCTCAGGGTCCCTGCTATCCTGAACATGGATCAATCAAGGTTTTCTACATTCCATGCAAATAATGAGACAGTATCTTGAAACGGGCAGTGGCCACTTCCTTCCCAATTCACCTTATACGTATAACTTAAAATCGTAACATCGTCAGTATATCATTCATAATAATCCTGCCCATTTCTCATAAATTCACAACAAAGCTTTGTAGTCGATATAACAACGTTAAATAACGCTAAGGATGGACATGAGGTTCTCACAGCAGTGACTGTGAACAGTTACATAACACCACATAAAAGGTAAAGGTAAATTTGTCCCTGTGCTTAACTAATTAAGAACGAAGCCATGAAGGCATATGGGGGAGTGGATGTATAGATCGACATTTTCTTGACTTCGGCACCAGTTGGCGGTGAGTGGTCAGTTTCACGCCCTGGCCGCTTTATCACCGGGGAAAAGCACCTGGTACCCATTGGATAGGAGGCTGCTTGGGCCCCAGAGCCGGTCTGGACAACCTGGAGAAGAGAAAATTCTTGACTTTACTGGGACTAGAACTTATAACATCCTGCAGTCCGGTGAAAGTCAACCGACGTTTCGGAGGAACATATCAGCTCCACCTTCAGGGTGGAAGAATGCTGCAATGTTGCGTGCTTCATGCTGGTTTCTTGATTGGCTTACTCTTCGACCCTGCAGATGGAGGCGGTATGTTCCTAAGTTTACTGGATCGCATGGTGTTGTATGTCAGAATATAGAACTCTTATAAATTTGTTTTTTTAGAACTAGATATCATAGTCTCCCTCTTCTGTGCCACGAGTTGGGTCTTCAGGCTTGTTCTCTCAACATTAAGATCTTGAAAAAGAGATTATTATGAACTAGCGTGTCCATACAGAAAAATCCGCATTGCAGTTTCTGAAATCACTTTTGTTGCTCGTGCCACTTAGTCATACTTAACGTCTTGAGACTCTTGGAGTCACAATTTTTGTGACGTTCACAGAACAAAGCTTGTGGGGCATGCCGTGTGAAGAACAATACATTGCCACACTAAAACGGCATACTCTTTGAGTTTTACTGTACTATTCGTAACTGATCTAAGTAAAGTAAAAGTAAAGCTATCCCTGTAACAGGCCACGAAGGCCCATAGGGTTGTGAGACGTTTAGGGTCCCACATTAACTAGAGTCTAGATTCTAGACAATCGGCTCAAAGATGGCGGTAAGCTTGTCAGCCTTACGCGCCGTCCGCGCTTTACTCCCCAGGAAAATTATTTATTTAATTCCTGCTACTCATTTCTGTTAGAGGCTGAGTGAACCCCAGGGCCACAGTGCAGCCGGAAGGATTAGGTCAACTGAAAAAAAAAATTAAATTATTTTAAATGCGTCATGCCATAATCTAGTGTGAACATGTTTCGTTTCACACAATACTTCTGTCATTACGACCTCAATGCGTTTCTTACGGAGGAAAGGACGGAGAAAATAAACTGACTTGGTCTCGAACCTATGAATATAACTTCAAAATTAACACAAATTTCCAGCGACTGTTTCTTCAAGAGAAGCATCTTCTGTGCCTCCCATATTCTTCTACGAATCTCAATTTGAGAGTAACACGTTCCCGCGGCAGCGATAGAGGGACAGGTGGCAACTGTGATCTCTCTTCGGTGGTGAAACAGAAAATTATGGTCAAGGGTCCCGCGGGGTCTGCAACGAAGAATGACTGTGCTGGCGGTGACCAGCAACAAATTACCAGGCAGACACCCGAAGTAACCAGTCCTTTTGTCGAAGAGGAGGCCCCATTTCAAAACACGTAAATGTCTTGGAAAGAACAAAATTATGGTCATAGGCTTCGACAGGGCGCGTAACCGAGAATTACTATGCTGGCGAAGACCAGAAGAAAATTACTACTCTGCTCTATTGCTCACCTTAAATATTTATTGTTGTACTTTTGATAAGTGATACAAACTGTCAGTAACTAGTGTGTTGCTATTCTTGATATATAATTGAGTTACCTATATACTGTTATACGTGACACGTAATTCATATTATCAGTACAGCAGATACGTTAGGGAAATGTTTGGGAATTTGCCATATTATTTTGTTTGCCAGACTGTTAGGGAAACGTTAGGGAACTCCCCATATTACGAGTATTTTGTTTGCCACACTATTGGCTAGAGATCAGTACGCATCCGGAAGGTCCTCAGACCGGGGAACTCGATACAAGGTTTTTTGGGTTTCCTCTGTATTCAAGTAAATGCTACGATCGTTCCAAAGTTCCAAGTTGCTACTGGGTGCTTCTCATGCAGCCCAACTGAATTAAATTAATCAAAATTAAGCCGCATTTCTGTCAAATACACCAAAATTTTGCGGCTCCTATCACAAGTCACTATTTCTAACCATTATAACGTCTTCATGTTCACTCTACTCATACCAAGAGAGGGCGAAGCCTGGGAGCCTTCTACCAAAAGCGATGCTTCCCTCCCTCGACATCTTTCCGACAAAGCGTATTACAGCTAAGCAAAAACTTACATGTAGTTATACTTATTATTAAATTACAATGTTTTTTTATCCTAATGCACCTACAACTGTGATTAGGTGAAAGGCAAAGTTTTCCCTGTGCTTAACTAATTAAACATTAGGTCATGAAAGCGTATGGGAGAGTGGATGTATAGATCCACATTTTCTTGAACTAGACACTAGTTCGAGGTGAGTGGTCAGCTTCACGCCCAAGCCGCTTTACCCCTGGGAACCCCGCCCCTACCTATTATATAGGAGGCTGGGTGGGTCCCAGAGCCGGTCTGGACGACGACGAGAACAGAAAATTCTTGACCCTACCGGGACTCTCGAACTCGGACCCCTCGGTCATCCAGTCCGTAGCCAGTCGCTATACCGACTACGCTATTATGGATCATGTTCTAATTAGGACTGTGTCAAATTTAATAGAATAACTGACATCCTAGTTAATTCCTATTCGATTTTATTATTATCCGATTAATCGCAAAGGTCGATACTTCCGTGTTTAATTAGTTCTACAGTAAGGTAAAGTGCCTGTGTTAAGTAACAGTTCCCTCGCTAGGTAGGCATATGTGGTATAGAAGTAAAATTCCACCCATCCTTAACCTCGGCATCAGACGGCAATAAGTAATTAGCTCCATGAAACGTCTGCTTTATTCACGGGAAAAGAGCCCTCGGTATCCATCGCATCCCAGAACCGTTCTACATGTAGTAGCGAAAACAAAAATCATGTCCATGCAAGAAACAGAACTCTGGCTTTCCAGTCCGTAATCAGCAGGGCCCGGATTCTGATGACATGTCATCTTTTATTCCTTGTATCCTATGCGATGCTCTTAAATATACTCGTATAAATCTCGGATATGAGCCGCTGGTTACAGAAATGTAAATTTTATAGGTAATTTTTTTGTCATTTTTTGACATTTTTAGGTTTAAGGTCATTTTTTTCATTTTTTGGTTTTTTTTTGGTAAATTTTTGGGCTTTTAAGGGTATTTCTTGCCATTTTTGGCCATTTTAGGGAATTTCTCTTCATATGTTTTCTGAAATGTGAATAACATGGAAGCGAGGCGTTCTTTCTTTTCCTCTTTAGGTCATTTTTCTGGATTTTTCGGTCATTTTATAGGTCATTTTTTAAATATTTTTCAGGTCATCAAAATCCGGGCCCTTCATATTACATTTTTGGGTCATATTATAGGTCATTTTATAGATCTTTTTTTTTTTTTAATATTTTCAGGTCATCAAAATCCGGGCCCTGGTAATCAGTTACTTTGCCGGTCACGGTAGCCGAGCGGTCTAAGGAATGTACTGTGTTCGCTCGCTCGGAAACCGGGATCGTGGGTTCAAATTCCACGCAATGCATGGATGTTTGTGTTGTCCTGTGTTTAGGTAGAGGTTTTGCGATGAGCTGATCACCCATCCAAGGAGTCCTACCGTCTGTAAAAATGATCATGAAGCTGAGAAATGAGCCAAAGTTGGAGCAAGAGAAGGAAAAAGAAAGCAGTTACAACGGGGGCAGATATTCCGCCCAGCTTACTTATATTAAATTCAGACTGTCAATTGAAATGTAGTTCGTTGCCATTTGTCAAAAGGTGCCAGATGACGTCACACAGCCCTCGCCTGCTGCTACTTCCGAATATGAAGCATTACAAGCCTGAAGTCTCCTGGCTTCTATAAATTCTAGAGCAGATGCTGATCTGTGGCATTTCCAATTCTAATGCAGACTTCTGATATGAGAGTCTGAATATATTCAGAAGTACAGAGCCGGGATAGCGCAGTCGGTGTAGCAACTGAGGGGTTGGAGTTCAAGTCCCGCTAGAGGAAAGATTTTTTTCTCTCCGCGTGAAGGCCGGTTCTGGGGCCCACCCAGCTTCCTGTTCAATGGGTACCGGGGATAAAGCGGCCGGGGCACTAAGCTGACCATCACCTCCAACTAGTGAAGAGGTCAATACGCAGATATGTACCTCCACTCCTCCATATATCTTCATGGCCTGGTGCTTAGTTAAGCACAGGGGAAACGTTCACTGATCTAATATCAACGAAAGATTCTGCGTCAGAGAGCTTCAACAGTTAAGTCAATAAGGATGAGATCTGCGGCAATAGTTAGAGTTGTTGTGGACAAAGTGGCACTAAGGGACAGGTATTTTCCAAATACGTACTTCTGCTTCCCTTGTCAATTCTTATTGCACCAGTTGCTCCATATTCATTTATCATCCTCTCTGCACCCCAGTATAGTCTCGATACTGACAGCGGTGTTAAGAAACAAACCTAAACAACAAAGGGCGATGTTGAACTGAAGAAACATAAAGTGTGTGCAGTTCGGGCAGAACAGGTGAAATGACGAGGAAACGTGAGAAACTTTAGGCCTATACTATTTCATTGTGTTTCTGTTTATCTTAAGCCATAATATTAACCGTCACTCACTCACTCATTCATGGAGTTGAGCCCTTCTTGAAAAGCCGCCAATTGTGCAGCTACTCAAGAATTTCCCAGCGTTTTATGGAACCCGAAGGTTCATTAGCATGTTCGCAGGAGCCCTCCACTGGTCCCTATCCTCAGCCAGACCAATCCAATCCATACTATCCCATCCTATCTCTCTAAGATCCATTTTAATATTGTTCACCCACCTAAGCTTTGGTCTTCCCAGTGGTCCCTTTCCTTCTGGCTTTCCCACCAATCTCCTACATGCATTCCTCTTCTCCCCCAGTCGTTCTACATGCCCTGCTCACATTATCCTCCTTAACTTCATCATTCTAATTATACGTACTTGGAGAATAGTACAAGTTATGAAGCTCCTCATAAAGCATTTCTCGCCAACCTCCTGTCACTTCATCCCTCTTCGGTCCAAATATTCCCCTCAACACCCTTAACTGTCACACACGCTTATATTAAATAACTTTTTGTTTTGTGTTTCGTATTATATGATACATGTTTCGACCATAAACGGTCTTCATTAGGTAACATACGTAAATCTAAAGAAGTTGCCTACATAAACTGCAAATTTGTTGAGATATGGAAGTGCGTAAAAATGTTCAATACAACAGTAATAAATCAGGTTGAACCCGACTTACTTTACAAGGACATGAATGTTAACCAGGTAAAAAAAAACAAGTCTTAAAAGCTAAGTTTTTGTGACGGTTAGTCTTATGACTTAGAAAAATGGGGAAAACTAGGAATAGCTAGAATTTCTTTTGCATATGACAACATTGTTTCTGGTTCAGAAGTTATATAATTTCTAATGAGGCGGAAATACAGAGTGATTCTAAATTACTGTCGGTGTTTCCGTTTATGGGCAACGGAAACCGCGATACTAATTTAGAATCATCCTGTATGCTCACGAATAGTAAATAAAATATGTACAAGGATGCAGTCTACCCTAGTGGAAGGCAGGCATTATATTCGAGCGGAGAGAATGAAGAAATCCACAAAGCATCTCAAGTTAGGTAGTACCTCTGTTTTTTATTGCTAGTGGGGTGGGACTAAGTCCCTTGTACTGCAGCCACTTCTGGCCTATTGTACCAGCCCTAGATGATAGGTGAGGGTGATTGTGGAACAATTGGTGGAATGAAGATTGGCAGGGGAAACCGAAGTACTCGGAGAAAACCTTCCCCAGCGCCACTTGTCCACCACAAATCCCACTTGACCAGACCCCGGGATCGAACCCGGGCCGTCGCGGTGGTAAGCCAGCGACTAACCGCTTGAGCTACGGCGAGGCAAAAAAAAAAAGTAGTACCTCAGGCTGGGTTCGAACTAGTAACTTCGCACAAATCTAGAACATTGCCAGTACATTAATCTGCTCTATCCGTACGCGGGCGGATAATATTAAAATGGCCTTTTAGGTAAATATGCTGCATTTAACTGATTCAGGATACAGCCTAGGTCCGCTTTTCTCTGCCCTAAACGATGATGAACATCGAGTTCCATGTAATCAGGGGATGTTTATTTAACGACGCTATCAGTGCTTTGACTACATAGCGTTTAATGTTATGGCGATTAGCAAATAATGAATTTGAAAGATGTGGAGGAAGTATTCGTGGCCTAATCTGAGATAACATCCCGACATTTACCCGGAGAGTCTGAGGAATACTAAGAACATTTTCAGTCATGGTACCTGGACTCCGAGCCGATATTTGAACCCGGGACCTTCCTAATACGATGTAGAGTGCTACCTACTCAATCGACACTACTGGCTACGAAAACTACTCATATTTTTTTTATTGCTAGTGGGGTGGGACTAAGTCCCTTGTACTGCGGCCACTTTTGGCCTATTGTACCAGCCCCAGATGATAGGTGAGGGTGATTGTGGAGCAGTTGGTGGAATGAAGATTGGCAGGGGAAACCGAAGTACATGGAGAAAACGTCACGAGTCATAAGAATCGACCAAATGGATGAAACGCTAGTCACACATCCACAGCAAGGGCTACTGCACATTAAATCAACACCGAAAACTGTCTCAGACACAATGAGCATCCCCTATCTTATGAAGTACACACTTTATTAGTTAACAGTATTTATTAAAATGAGTTCACAGTACCTGTTCCCTGTGATGGAAGTACGGGGAAGTCCTCCGTTCCGCGGAATACTGCAACAACGGACAACAAGTGTTAGTATTTCTTATGCTACAGACTATTTTTATTTTTATATTGCGAGTTTCATGAACACCCCAGAAAATTGTCTCCACCTTATCGTGGTGGTGGGGCTTGCGTGACTCTGTGAACTGGAGAGCTATGCCGGCGGTAGTTTAACTACCGGCAGGATCACCCATGCCGGAAAGTTCAAAGGGTAGAGTCCAAACTAAGAGAGATACCTTGGTCCTCCAGTTTGGTGGCTGGGCATGAGGCTGAAAAAGAATATCATTCAGAAACCTAAAAGTGCGTCCACATTACTCGTGCTCGTGTGTCTCGCTATGCTCGCGAGTAATGTGGACAATATGAAAAGTCACGAGACAAGCCTGGCGAGCAACTGAAGTTGTGTGGACGAAGATTTACGAGAACAAGTAAAAGCCAGACGAGTCTCCCGACGAGCACGAGCACGAGTAATGTGGACGCGCCTTAACAACCAGCCTCGGGTCATCATGCGTGGATCCATTCCTACGGCAGCACGCATTGGTTGTGGAGACTGGTTGTAGAGGAGGCCATGGCTCACCCAGAGCTGTAGCGCCGAGTTGTAGTGGTAGTTGTGATGGTAGGTAGGTAGTTTCATGAAGATCGTTCCGTAATGATTAGAAATAAGGACTGCCTAGGCCTTTTGTTTTTGGAGGGGGGAAATTTGAGGAATAGTAACAAGAAACTGCTATCAGAAAACGAAACTGAAGCAACAGTACAATCCAATTCAATTCTAATTTATGTACGTGCAAATTTAACAGACCAAAGGCTAAGCACAGAGTGAGTACGGGCGAGGAAAAGAAACAAAACACAAACAAGACAATTTATATAATTTTAATATCATAATAATAACAATAATAATTTCATTGACACCAATCAGATTTATCACTAAGAAGTGAGAAAAATAACACTACACATTTACAATGAATACAATTAATATTTTAATGATTGAAAGAACCACGACTATTATGAAATAAAACAGCAAGAAACAATTCAGTTTTTAATATATAAATATATAATAGTATTAATTAAATTTATTTATTTGTTTGCTTACATAGCAACGAAAATGCCAATTATAAAACACGCACGTGTAAAGATGGACTCAAACCGATGCACGTTAACAAACATCGCTGGCACTGTCGAATATTCGGCTAACGTCTCGCTTCGCTGCTGGATAAGCTTAGTGCTACACCTGGGTGTATTTTAATTTTTACACGAAATTTCAAACTTTACAGTGTCTTCAAAACAGTTTCATTATGACGCAGTAGAGCACGAGGTCAGTGCTACGGTACGTAAATCTACAATCTACATCCTTCGAGGAATGTTCGTGTTTCCACATTTTCGAGTAAGTAAACCGTCAAGAGCTGCACGGGGCCAAAGAAAGGAAGACACCCGGTGTGGATACAGCGACCCTGTTTCGGCAAAGAGACGCATACTGAGGTGACGTCTGTCATGTGACAGGCTGTGCAAGTAGAGGCTACAGAAACTGACAAATCCTTCGGGACAACATATTATAAAGTTGGGCGAGGCTACTGCGACAGACTCACGTGCCGTGAAGGACTGTCACTCAGGCATCTGTAAAAAGATTCCAGCCGATTTTCAAGAGAAGCTGCTAAATTTCCAGCGACACTTCATTCAATTCAGGAAGACGCAGAAGTATACGTTTAAGCATACAGGGAATGCAGACGAGCCACGGCGGTGTACTTTTATATGCTTCGAAACTACATTGTTGACGCTAAGGCTGCAAAATAAGTTATAATACAATAATAACAACAATAAAATAATAATACAAACGTTGTTGCCGTGCATAACTGCTGATGACCATAATTGTCCAACTGGGTCCACTCGGCACGGCGGCCACTGATTGGCCTATTGTAGCCTGCCCCGGGTGATTATGATGGAGAATTTGGTGGAATGAAGATTGGCAGGGAAAACCGAACTACTCGGAGAAAACCTGCCACAGCGCCACTTTGTCTACCACAAATCCCACTTGACCAGACCCGGGATCGAACCCGGGCCGCCTAGGTGGTAAGCCAGCGACTAACCGCTTGAGCTATGGCGCAGCCCAATCACTCGAAGTTACCGGGAGCATCAAGTAAGTAAATCCATTTAGGCCTATTATGGCAGCATTTTTTTAGCGAAACTATGAAAAGTCTCAGGCGGGACAGAGGGTATTCGACCCAGGTACCTTCAAAACGTACCCGTTACAAGAACCTGCTCAGCAGATCTTTGCGTTTCCGGCAGTTGGTCAACGGTCCCATTCTTCTGCGTTAATGCATCGCGTGACCACATCCAATGAATCTTACAATGTCCGTTTTAGTTTCCGAGCGGTACAGAGTTCCACTGTCACATTCTAGATAATTTTATTGGTCACGGATCGAAGATAGAATCCAGTGTCAGGATTGTACTGTACGGTTTCGCGTGTCTAAACAGAGCGCCATGAAGGCATAAATGGAATGCGGACATACAACTCTATGTACTCTATACGTAGACTAGAATAAGTGGTAGGCTTCACCGCTCAGGTCGCAGTGCCCACAAGTCCTCGTTTCAGGGGCAAATTAGGCAGACGGGAGGACAGGACGTTTATTTCTGCATATTCTCACATTTATAAGTTGACCTTATGACAGACATTCAGTCGCAGCCCCTGTGGTCTAGTGGTTAGAGGTCCGGGTTCGATTCCCGGCGCTACCAGATTTTCTGAGAAGTAGTGGGCCTGGAACGGGGTCCACTCAAAACTCTTGAGGATAAATGAGGATCTATTTCAAGGAAACAGCGGCTCCGGTCTAGAAAACTGAGATTAACGTTGTGCTTACCACGCGACATCCTCTATCCGCAAATTTGGCACTAACTTCGCCGACGAGCGGCGGTCGCTCGGTCGGTATAGTTCGCTTGAGGACTACAGGCCACAGAGTTTGTTTTTTTATATTGCTTATGAAGAAGGTACCCATGTATGACCTAACAATTCAAATGGTCGAAGTTTAAGTGTATATAAGTGAAGATGACCCAGACATAAGGTGGAAACACGCAGTGGGGAAGAATAAATACTATTAATGCTAGATAGTTATGTTGATGATACTGTAAGAAGTATATGTAAATCATTTACAGATATATATTGTTATATGTAGTATGTAATTCATATTATTAATAAAGCAGCAGCTCCTACGTCATGGAATATTCCATATTCTTTTACTTGCCGGACTTCCGGCTAGAAGTCAGAATGCATCTGGGAGGTCCTGAGACCGGGAAACTCGACATAGGTTTTCTTGGTTTTCCTCTGTATTTACGGAAATGTTGAGATGATTCCAAAGTTTCAAGGCGTTACTGCGTGTTTCCCAAGCAGCTCTCTCGAATTAAATAAATAAAAGTTAAGTTCTGCTGTTGTCAAAGGTACCAAAATTAGTTTTCCAAATTATGCAGTTCGACAATTAATTAAGAAAATTATGATTCTGCGGTCCCCGTTTCTAACCACTCTAACGTATTTGTTTTCATTCTATTCTAATCAGAAGGACAAGTGGACGAAGCCTGGGAACCTTCCAACAAAACGATGCCTTTTCTCTCTCTTCCCGCAGGGGCACAAGGGCAGGTCTGGCAGAGCAGAAGTGTTGAAAAGGGGAAATTATAGCCTCCAACGGGAACCGAACGAGAGTATTCCAACACGTAGTCACTCTCTTGAGCCATTTCGACTCACTGGATTGAATATGCAGAAATGGACAAGTATTTTTCTTTTCCATTCTGTTTCTAGAAACTAACTGCAAACTGGAGGATACTTGGTAAGCTGACAGTTGCTTGGATATTAAAGAATTCCAGTTTTACGGAACCCAATGTCCATTGCTGTTTAAAAAAAATCTGTTACTGGACCTTATTCTGAGCCAGCTGAATCAACTTCTCAACTGCATAGCTTATTTCTGTAGGGACTATTTTAATATTATCGTATGATATATGCCTAGGATTCCCAATGGGACTATTTCTTACAGATATTTCCAATAACATTCTGTACAGATTTCTATAAGTGCAATATCTTAACCTGTTTTTGTTTTCATAAAGTTTATAGAAACTATATTCACAACCTTTATGTAAAATGCCATATGTTCTAAACAGGGCATCGAACAATCGCTAAACGTTAAGTTAATTGAAAGAAAATCGTGCTTCATGTTTCTAAGGAGTCGTGAATCGAAGCAGAGGTTCAATATTAATTGTTTTAGGGCATTATGAAGAATGGAAGGAAATAAATGTCCCTGTTCGTTTCCGATACGCTCTCTTAAACATTTTGTTAACTCCGATGTCTGATCTAGTTGCCGCGACCTAGTGGCGGTCACTTACATTTCATGCCCTGACAGTTCCATTAATGTTTCCATCTCGCTTGTCCCGCCCCAACCCCTTCTGGCGGCCAATTGTGGAACTGCCAAATGTACGGATAATACGGACAGGAAACATTATTGATCTTGACAGCTCGTAACATAGCACTGTCAAGCGATACAGTAAGTTTCCAAATACACAGACATTCGTAGATATTTCATGATTTTTGCGTCAGGTAAAACTAGGATTTATTTAGCTTCTAGGGAGGCGTGGGGGTGGTTATGAACTGTGAAATTGGTTGTCTGAGAAATAAACAAGAACATGCTTTAAAAACTGTGGTAGTTACTGTATTTTCATCGCCTTGCGTCTCAATGTATTTGCTCCAACACTCTGCAAGTTTCTTCTGCCCATCAGAAACCCCACTTTCCATTTTGCCTTCAAGTATTTCGAGCGTCGTTTTTTTTTTTCGGTTGACGCCCATTTCAGATCAAGTTTAATCGACGTTCATACTTCAGTTGTCCCGGATATGTTGATGGATCTGTTCCTTAACATCAATATATATTAGAGTCAATAGGAAATAGGGGAAGGCAGAAGGATTTTATATTATATTCTAGAACATAAATAGGTCTTATCGCAAGTCAACTTCCGGCATGGAGCCATTATTAGGGGTTTCATCAACCAT